TCAAAACCCCCCCCCCCACCTCCAAACTAAAGGAAATAAGTTTTTTATCCGACATCGATCTTTTGAACTCGTCCCTTACAAATACAGCAAATGTTCAAATCCACAACAAAAATACATACAAATTTCTGGTCAGGTTTTTTTTTTCAAAATTGATGCTGGAATGCATTATAATATTCTTACTGTGCTTTTAATTTATTTTTTCATAAAATTCTGTCAAAAAAAGTTTTAAAGAAACATGACTATTCATTCAATCTTGTGCCGTATTGACTACAACAGTTTTTGGTGCATACCTGTGTCTTTCCAGATGCTGCTTCGCCTGCTATCTCAGTGACTTCTAATGTATACAAGCCACCATCAAGCAGTCGACCTAAACTGTAAATTAATCACATTATTTAACATCACAGAAGATTAGTTTAGGAGTACAGAAAGTCAGTAAGTAGACGACCCTGCATATCATATGGGTCAGACCTCATGTGTGTTTACCCCGTCTGTGTGTATGTATATAATTTCAAGTCCATGTAGTTGTACCAAGAGTTTATAAAATGAAGCCATGCAAGTTGTGTGATAAAGATTGGAAAAGTCATGTGTATTGAGAGATGATCAAAAAATCTCAATAGCAACATACACTTTAAGAAATACGACAAGTATGTGAAAATACTACCCGGTCTCATGCTGTTTTTGCTTGTGTTCTTGATTATTCGCCAAGCATGTATTACGTGGTTTCGTGATTGTGTACATGGCGCTAATCTCATGCACTTCTGTATATGCAATCAAACATTCCCGAATGGAGTTCTATGATGTCATTAATTAAAATACGTTCAGATTGAGGCACACATAAAACTCGTGAGATCTTCACCATACATAGATATATAGGTTGCATGCCCTTATCTTATACATCCTTTGATGTACAGAGCATAACATTCGAAAGTAGTAAAATTACCACTGATCTGAAACCGAAAAATTAAACCTATTGTCCCATAATGCAATGCTGTATGTAAATTACCTGTCACACCCTATAGGAAGGATGGATGTCTTACTCAAGGCATCTTCATACAAGTCAACTCCATTGATAGGGAATGCAGAGTACTGGGCCAATAGAAGCTTTCTGATTGATAACAGGACCTGGAAAGAACATAAATTACATAACTTGAACTTAATGATTATTGCTACATTTTTATTTGTTGTAAAAGGCTTTAATTTCACAAGAAAAAAATTTTCATGTTTTTCGCAAGTCAGTGAAAAGCGGTAAATTTCGTAGCAGTGAAAATTTCTTTGGGGTGCTACAACTGTAAGAAGCGTAAGCGAATTTTGTGAAACTTTGTCTTTAGGAATTCCTAAAAGTGACAATGCCTACGACGTAGCAGTGAAAAGCGGCATTAAAATGTGCCTTTACTAACCCTTTGACAGTCACATGCTATATCGTGTTAAAATGATAATGTGATAATTTCTGTGGAAATGGGAATAATATCGCAAAATTTATGAGGTATATGACCCAAAATCAGGATGCGATTTAATATGACACACCATGACATAACTAGCACGTTTACCTTGTAAGAAATATTACACGTCTGGGCAATGGTTTCTGGATCACTGCACACAAAATCTTCAACTGAAATTAATGACACAATAATAATATACAATTAAAAATAAATCTTAGGTACAATTATTTTCAAGAATATATATTGTTATTTTTATTATGTTAATTTTATCATTTTTCGAATAAAATAAACAAAAACTTTTTACAAATTTGAAATGATGATTAAATACCACTTGAGGATCATAAGTTAGTGTGAACTTTGACCCATCATAAACAAATTTCTGAGCTACTTCGAAAATGAATATACAATTTAACAATCTATAGTGACGGAACTACTGGTATTATTATAAATATATAGATTCAAAAGTTTAATTTGAAACATTTTGATTAAAAACGATGGAATCTACAAGCTGTTCAAAGGGCAGCAGTCGGCAACAGCACTTTTGAATTTCCCACATGTTTTATACACCGCTATAAAACCCCCATATTGAACAGGACATGGCATGATGACCATCACTATTTATAAAAACAGCAGTTTAAGCAAGACAGCTAAGAGATCTCCAGGGATTTTTTTAAACAAGGGAACAGGGGCACAGCGCCCTCATGCCATGGCCGTGTGCCCCTGGGGTGCAGATCCTCTGGCAACCATAAAATTCTGATTGACCAGGGACCACATGTGACCACAGTCTTCAACTGCATGTGACCTGTCTGAAAGTAATTTTGGCCCCAAGGAAGCCATAGAATGCTCCATTTTAACTTAGAATTATCAAAAACTCCACAACCTGGTAGAGAGAACCCTGTCTCCCCCACTTGGTGGTGCCGCTGAATTGCAGTGCTCCCTCTTGCAGTTTTTTTTCTAGAAAAACCCCTGGATCTAAATTATATATACATTGCTACATTCATACAACAACAAAATAACAAGTTAAAAGAATATTCCTTCTTATGAGGTCTAATGTTTAACATTTTACCTATTTTATGCATTTTTCAAAAGTTTTTAGGATAATTTTAGAGCAAATTAGCTAAGTTCGACTAATTAAGTGCCCATCCCATCCAAAATGCCCCAAATTTGACTGTTTAAAGCAGTAGTCGTCGCGCATGTTTGACATTTGTGTTGATAAACATTGATTTTCCCACAATTCAATGCGCTCTTCAAATGGAAATGAGTAGGAGTATGAGGTTTGACCTGGGCGCGACTTGCACTGATTACCGCCGGTGACTCCTTCGATACCTTCCAATCACATGAAAATTACCTAATTAAAGATTGGAAACTTGTCAGTTCGTACTCGTTGATCTGCGCAACAGTCAAAGTCACCATCTTTGTTTATATGAGACCCATATATCTCACGATGACTACCGCGCTTTAATGTTTGGATCTTGTTTTGTCTGTGACTGGTTATTTGTTAGGAGTAACCAAACTATTTTTTTTTCTTCCTTATTTTACTTTTCACAGCAGAATTTGAAGAATTTTTAATGCTGTTATATGTTCCAAATTTCCTATAACATATAGTTCGCCATGTGCATATATTATCATTTTGTTTAGGGGTTTACCATAATTTTTTAGAAGATAGGAGGGAAATCAGATGGCAAGAAAAGTTTTCAAATTATTGTTATTATCCTTTCTTTTTGAGGATGATATTTTTTCTATCAAAAATGTATAAAAAAAAATCCGAATTATACCTACAAA